ATAGGAGCTAAGCCTTTTGCTTTCTTTACTTTTTTCTCAGGTAATTTCGCTTTTTGCATATTTTGCAAAAAAAAGAAAGAAAAAAAGACCATCTGTGGGCAACGCTGCACAAAGTCGTAGCGCGATAGGTTAAGAATCCGATTTTTGCGGTCAATTTAAAGAGCCTGGCCACTCCTTGGGACACCCAGTAGGTCATTAACGGCAGGAATTCGCTCTAAGCCGTATGTGCGCACAGTGCAAAGTGTGTGTCAATGCCCCTTTACGTGTCTCATACAAGACTTATGTCGTTTTGAAGCACGGTGAACCAAATAAACAAATAATTCCTTACTGGCGGCCTGGATAGCAACTCAGAGTCAAGGGCATGATCCTCCCGGCAAGCGAATATTTTATGAAGTCCATTCAGCAGATGGAACAGGATGACTGGACCAGTATACTTCTTGCACATATGCCTTTGTAGTCCTGTTTTTTTGCGCACAAACTCTGGCACGTTTGGAGGCTCTCAAAAAACGTGCCCCAGCGTTTTATTCCTATTTTAAGGCAACACCTACATTTTATATGAATTTAAGGAAAGTCATATATTTGAACATGCAAGCACTGTATTTTACCGTAACAGGATGTCGTGAAGTGATGGTGGCAAATTGAATTCGGCACTGTATGTGTGTGTGTGCGTGTATGTTTATGGGAGGGGGGTTTCCAAGATGCTTTCCACTGCAGTATGGTGCTAAGATCACTTCAATATTGCTAGTGGTTTATTTCAAACGACCGCCATGCAACTATTTGCGAGTGTTGTCCTTGTTGTTGAGCCGGTGTATTCTATTTCGCCGTGGAGCTCCGAAACAAAAATTTGACACAATATGACTAAAAATCACCCAGGGTACAAAAAAAGTATTTGTGTCGGACACACAGCACGGTTCTGCTCCACGAAACCAGCTAAACGGAGAAAAGAAATCAGCAGAAAAAACGATGGAAAAAATACAGACGCTCCGTTAGCACTGCCTCCCTTTGCCGCAACGGTAGTTACGGATTGAGGTGACGTTGGGTCGAGGTATGTTCGCGTGTTCTGCCACGAGCTGGTGCCAGACCTCTGATGGGCACTGCCGCGTTTAAATTGTTGCTTACCGCGCTCACTGTCTACTGCGTCTCAACATAGCCTTCGATATACTGACAAAGCCTGGCAGGTCGCCACGAGACGCGGCCGCCTAATGTAAAAAGGTAGAGCGGCAAGCAACGGATGAAAGGAGGCTTATTGAACGGGCGCCCCGCTGTGGTGAGACGCCGAAACACACTTCTTGCGAGCGATGGCATTTCCGCTCGTGCTCCTCGCGTTCCTCGCGCTAACGCTTCTTTTCTCGTCGGGTTTGAAAACCATGTTTCGGATACTGGCCGCTGCAAAAGCTGTGCGCTGAATACCAGCTTACCCGAGAAATGCTCTTTGCTACCAGATCCTCGCTTTCCAATCTACGACCGAACACTCTATGGCTCCGTCACCGAACTGCCGGGATTTGTGAGTGTAGAGGACGCTATGATATCACGCACCAAGAGGCTGGGCACCCAGCTATCATTTGCGAAATTCAGTCCTTCACGTATGCACGCAGTTTCTTCACACTATCTCATCACATTATGTGTCACCACTGCCTTTGCCACGCTCCTACTAAAAAGGGTTGTTTTTTTATACTTCGGTCATTAAATAATTCAACGTGAAAACTTTGCTTCTGAGCGCGACATTGGGAGCGAAAGCACAAATACAGGCCTTTTTTTTTTTTTTTGTGGGGCAAGAATATAAAAAAAGATATTTAGCATGAAGGTTTTTTTGGTTTACTTTACTTCCTCGTTGTGTTGAGAGATATGAGGGTCACTAGAAAAGACGCAAAATTCTTTAATTACCTTATTGAAAAAACATGTTATTCACTTCTTCCCCTTCTCAAGGCAGATGAATAACTGACACTATATCTAATCATAGTGTAGCCGTGGCGCACAATGTTCATAAAAAAGAAGAAAAAAAAACTCGTACTGAGCGTTACAGGGTAACAATTTCCTTTCAGTGTTCATAATTTCATACAGACACTAGCGTGGTGAAAATCCCCTATGACGTCAATTCCTCAACTCTGCTCTTGCGTAGCACTGATCATGAACCTGCGGGGTCGGCATGTGGGCTCCAGAACTTGCGAAGTACGAAGCAGTCATCTACATGTTCTTGGAAACAAAAAAAGTTACTAAATACCGTTACTTCTTATTCGCTCTAAATTAACTAAGTACTTGATTCATTAGTGCAATAAATATAAAACTCGTTATTACTTCAACTTAAAAGGAACGCATTCCTTTCTTGTTACTATCTATACTCTTGCTACTCTACTTCAAAAATTGTAGCTGCGTTTCGTGTTTTTTTTTTCGTCGTTAATAATTGTTTGTTTTTAGCGTATTCATAGACATATTAAATCTCCACACCAGGGATGTGTTGACTGAAAGAATAATCTGGGGATTAGTGTTGATGGGGTTTTAAGCATGTCATATATGTGCCCAGGAACATAAGCCTGACGAACAACGTGTGTACTCTCTTTCACGTACTATGTGGTTGCTTTTGTAGTTCTTGCTTCAGTATAGCAAAGTCCTTACATCGTAGGATATCGTTCAAAATATCCTACGATTGCGTGATTGTGACGTAATTTGACTGTGTCCATTGCTGCTTCGCTTTTTAGAGCGCAGCTCTTAGGCGCCCGTTTCCGGCTTAAGTGGCGTCGGCGTCGCTGTCGGCGTCGACGTCGGCATCGGCGTAACCGCGAGGTGCATTATGGGTTATTTTCCTCGCTAAATTTAGCGAAAAATTTGCCCACTAAAATTAGCGGAAAATTTTCCCACTAAACTTAGCGGAAACATTTCCCCGACAAATTTAGCGGAAAATTCTCTCCGCAAAATATAGCGGAAAAAATTTTCCCGCTAAACTTAGCGAAAAAGCTTCCCCTGAGTGGCAAAAAAGGAGGAGAGCATAGGCCTCCTCTCCGTACCATCCCCTCCTCCTCCTCAGGAGCTGCGCTGTAATTCGGCGTTACAGGGGATTGTAAATGTCTTTCATTTTTTATCTTTATTTTTTTTTTCTGTTAATGGTGCAAACTGTATGGTATGTTGATTATTTTCTTTTTAGTGCTGCATAAATGGCATTGTGGAGACCTGTGGCCCTGTCAAGCTGATCTTCTGACCGCTTTTTCCAAAAGCCTGCAGTATCCTGTACGCTGTGCTTGATGCTAATAAAACTACACGACCACGACACGAGCACGCGACGCCAAAAAGAAAACGCGATATTTAAGTAAGTCACTTTGTGACTTACTGAGATATCGCGGGTACATCTAAAGCAACAGAGATTAAGGTAGGTATCACTCGCGTGCTAAACCATATCTCACCGTGCTCTCTAAGCTTTTGTTTTTGCATTTGTAATGAAGTAGAGAAAGGTCTTTTTTTTTTTGGTGAGATCGCATTCAGTGCAAAATCCCCAAGTTCTATTTTAAGGGCTTGAGTTCCTGACCCTCTACTCGATCACATATGACGTCATAGAAATTAACGAAACGTGGTTGAATGTATAGGAGTGTTAATATACTGGGGCATGTAATGGAGTGTCTTCAACGAACTGCGATGTATAGAGGGACGGCGTATCATTTTTTATAAGAGAAGAATTAATCTTTAGTGAGATCCCTCGGCTTTCTCGATCTGTGGACTGCGTCGAAGCTTTTTTTCTGAAGTTGAATTGTTGCATAGCGGCTGGCACAGTGTACACACCACCAGATTCGTTCTGTCGACATGCTTTAACGGGATAAACTGACATCCCTGACCATTAAGAAGTAACAATCTGTTATGTGTAGGTATTTTAATATTGATCGGAACATATGCGCGTAAGATATATTCAACTTTTAAATTCGTTAAACTTTACAAATATTATTAGCGTAATAAATAGAGTAACATTGGTTTCATGAGTCATAATCCATCCAATTTATAGCTAATATTAAAACATATATTGCTGGAGTTTGCGAATTCAATATCGCGGATCATTTTCCCATATTCATATTTGCCACAGGGATGAATGTCATTTGGGATAAACGTCTTCGTCAATTAAAACGGCAAATGAATTATAAACTGTTGCGCGACATAGTATAAGCGTTTGATTTTAAAAATTTACATAATCCATACGAGAATCAACAATTTAGCAGTTTGGTGAGGTGCTAAGAATAATCGGCACCTGTATGACACCGTTCATTATTTGCTCTCTGAAGGATAAAACGACTTGTCATTAGCAGTTAAAAGAGCATAAAGAAAATTGGATTATTTCCAATATAAACTGCATCGTAACGTGTCCGTACCACTTATAAGGAAACTTAAAAAAAGAAATATCATTCTAATCATATCACTGCTTAGTGCAGGACTTAAAAAAAAGGTGGATTGTCATGAATACCGTCTTTCACTCAGAAGTGGCGAAACAAATCCGACAAAATTGATCATATCGCTGTTGAAGGATTTAAGCGATTTTTACTTACATCGGCCCACAATTCGTGAGCTAGATTATCTTAAGTAACTCGCCGATGTTTTCCCAGTTTGAGATTTGCCCACCAACATGCGTTTTTTTAGAAAATAACGAGCCCTTACATAAAGAGAATACACAATATCTTCAATGCCTACTAGTAAATCACTAGGGTCTGCTGGAATTCCTAAGAAATCACTTAACTTATATATGGGTCTACTGAGCGTTCTATTGCAGCATATATTAAATATGCTGCAAGGCAATGATTAACATAGGTATTAAGTAAACTTGGACTTGCAGGGATTATTCTGATAAACCCAATACAGTTCATAAGCTTAGAGTGTGTACAGTGCTTCTGAAACCAGCAAATCATTTTGTAACCGAGCCTAAGAAATCCCAACTCACACATAATGCGTACGCGACACACGTGCCTCCAGTGGTTATCATAATCATAAAGACAAGTTTAAATATTTCTTTATCAATAAATTTGACTTACCATTAACTTCACCGCTCAGGCTGGAACAGGAGGCCAACACTGTGAGAAGCACAAGCCAACACTTGGCGTCCATGACTCGAACCCCGAGAGGGCTGGATTTAAGCTGAACGTGATACTCACGACGTCGATTTGCAGGTAATCTACTCGTTGCACTCTTATAAGTAATAGATGGCTATTTGCCCACTCGTTACCTCTCATCGAAAAGGTCCATAGGGCAATCACGTCGAGATAAAGGCTGATCCCTTTTGAAGAGAGCCCATTGGGCGGTACAGCATCCTGGTCTTGAGTTCGGGCGCCAGCAATTAAGCACTTGAAGACCGCGGCTTGACATGGGCGAGGTAAACACGGACCTCGCAGAACCTTTCTCAGCTGGAATTCGCGGGGAAGGGTAATCAAGACCGGCGTTTCCAAGCTAGCGCTTCGCTTAACGAATGTCAAAACTTTATTCGCAACTCTTTTGGAGCACCAGCTCTCGCGTTGTTGAATTTGCTCACATTTTTGTGCGCTTTATTTTAATGTTGTTTGATTATTAAACTGCGTATATTAAGTGCGGCGTTTTTTATACACAAAATGCTTACCACAATTTTCAGCAAGGCACACCGAGGAATGACTTCTTTTCTAGGCAACAAGCTGAAAGAGTGAGCCTTTCACCATATTACTAGGTGGTCTTAGCATCCTTCTTCTTGCTACAGCAAAACAGGCATCAAACATTTTTCCCCCGTGAAGTGACAAGGCACCTTTCTCTCTAAAGCTGTAGAAAGATTTTACTGGTTAGTGATTTAAATGTGTTCTACTTGAATTCTTTCTTGAGAGATGAGTATTAAGTAGTTGCTGCTTGGCCTGGTACTCACTAATTTAGCTTAAATACTCTTTTTATATATCGATTTGAATGTTCACGAACCCGTAATGAATTATGTTGCTAGTGTACTAAGAAAGGTGGAAATAAATTTGTTTTCAGCTAGCTCACCTGAACGTTTACGGCATGGAACTTCTTCCTGCAGATGTACAAAGCCTGCATTAGCCCTCCTGGATTCTTTATTCGTATGTGAGTGCCGTCGATAAGCCCAACCACAGGGGGAAACCCGTATCGTTCGAAGAAGAGCTGGATCGTAAAGCGCTGCTCCCTGCGGTTTCCAGGAAATTGCACAAACTGGGCCCGTCTTCGCGCGAGACGTCCAGAGACCCGACCTACGATTTCCGACTGGGTAGGCTGGCTGAAGCCGTGGATGTCTCCAGCGTCGTCTTGATAGCTGCCTTTCACAAAAAACCGGAGGGCGCTGAGAACTTGAAGCTCCGGCGACATTGCGTTGTTCACAGAAGTTTCGTTGAGGTCTGACCGAAGCAGATTCACAACAAACATCACAGTCTCCATCCTCAGCCTGTACCGCCTTTTGAAATTGTCTTCGCTCCATATAATAGATGGGTTCTGCTGGTCGCGTAGCGTACGGGGCATCACGCGAAGCGCTTGAACTTGTGAAAGCTCTTCGAGCTCGAAAAGATCTCGCAGGTCGGCCCTATTTGCTGCTAAACGGCCACTAGTCGCCCGATAAACTAGCCCTACCCTATGACTAAGATTTGTTAGTAGACTTCTTAGTCGCGCGGGGCGACTCAGGCCTAAACACGACCGGTGAATACCAAGCGCTCACTTAGCGGCGGCTAGCGCTCGCCACGTGATCATTTTAGTCGATGACGTGGCTAGACAGTGGTTAAACAGGCGATACTCGCGCCTGGTGAATACGGGTGCTCAAGTACAAGGGCGATATCTGGACGAAGTTGGGCGAGAAGCTGGGAGAGATATCTGGTAGAAACTATTAGAGCGCAGCTCTTAGGCGCATGTTTCCGGCTTGAGCGGCGTCGGCGTAATCGTGAGTCACGTGACCCCCGTCAGGCCACTTGACCCCCTGAGGTCACGTGATCCTACTGAGGTCACGTGACCCCTAAGGTCACGTGATCCCCTAAGGTCACGTGATCCCCTGAGGTCACGTGACCCCCCTCAGGTCATGTGACCCCCAGGTTACGTTACCCCCCAATGGTCACGTGAGCCCCTCAGATCACGTGACCACCCTTAGGTCACGTGACCCCCACAGGTCACGTGACCACCCTGACGTCAGTGACCTCAGGGAGTTACTCATCCCTCAGTACGCTTCCATCGTATCTCTTAGTACGCCTCCATCCTCCTCCTCAAGAGCTGCGCTCTAATCTGGCGTTACAGGGAGTTGTAAACGGCTTTCATTTTTTTTCTTCCACGAACACTGCGTGCATCAGAGTGAAGGACAACATTTTCCAAATATATGATTCATCTGAACGACACGATCATACTCCTGTATAGACCGAGAGCAATCTGGGCCCTTGGGCTTGCTGGTTAGAATCAGCACCTTGGCTGTGTGAACAAAGTCTGCCAAGCGCTTGCAACTGGGCTTCACGCGCCACATGGCTTGTGCCCTAGGTTTGGCGGTGCTTTCTTGATACGGGGATTATTTAAACTTGGCCGGTTTTCTTGAATCGGCATCTAGGCTGGCTGAAGAAAGCCTGCGGAAGCCTGGCGCGCGCGAGCGCTTCAGACTCGACTTGATTGGCCACTCCGCTCGTGAGCTAACATTGGCCGTGCTTTCTTCAGACGCTGATAATAGCAAGCCGCTACTGGTTTCCCCGAAGAACGCTCCCGTTCGATTAGAAGTCTTAATTATGTATGCATATGTTCTTGAACTGCGAATTCAGAACATATCTCATTCTATGGTGGCGCAAATCTATTAGCATTCAGCTGTTCGAGGGCCTCCACCCAGAAATATTTTCTCGCTAATGGTAACGTCTGCGACCGGAAATTTTCCAACTTCGAAAAATACTCGCCCTGACAATCCAAGTGAATGGTTTACCATCAAAACTAATTGATAGGATATGGTTTTAGCAACCAGTATTCAACCTTTTATGTACACACCCCTATAAAAGTGGCTACAGCTATTCTATATACATCTTACCGACATTCTATCGCCCCTATCGCCATTCTATCGTCCTCCCTTGAAATTTATGGACACGGAATCGCCCCTTTATCTACGTTTGGCACAGACGTGGTAGGCGCTAATTGGCACTCAAATGGCGAAAGAACCCTTTAACGTCTTTTTATTGGCAGGTGCTCATACAGAATTCGGGTATCGTCTTTTTATACTCATCCTATTGTCAATCTAGCGCCCCCGGTGGCAGTGCAATACCGGCCAATTTCTGCTGCAAGTAAAGCTAACTTTAAGTACAAACCATAGTTATAATGTACACCAGAGGTTCAACTTGCTCTAGTGTGCCGCGGAAAATTGAAGCAGACCATACATGGTAAATTTCTTCCAAAATGTAATTTAATTACAATTACAACTTACATCAACAATTAATGCAATTACTTTACAATTATTTATTTCTGGGAGCGACCACCTTGGTCTATATAGCTTCAAACAACATTTTAGGAATGCAACGCATTTATTCATTCCTTGCCCAAATGTTTGAGGAGCCGAATACATGTCACGAATTGTACATTTCTTTTGTGCATTTTCTTAAATTAATAATAGAACTTGACAATTTGGGATAATGAAATCCTACGCTCTGATATTATCAACAAATAATAATGAATTAGTTAATACACTCGAAGACAGCCGACGCTAAAATAATATTGGTTGACACACTTTTGTTAGCCAGGCAAATAAAAATGTGACAATTAGCGATATCTGAACAATTTAATAGCGTTAATATAAGACAACAATCCACATCCACACGCGCTAATACGACCATATTTACAGACGAACGTTTCATTTTTTCCTAAATTATTTACATTGAGTTGAAATTACATTGGCTCAAAATTTATAAGACCCGAATATGGGCTCTCGAATCAATCACGAAAATATTCACAGGTGCGAATTCAGCTCCAAAATGCTCATGCAAATAATATCCGAGGTAAAACCAACAAAAAAAAATAAACTTGAAATTAATACAAAAAATAGCGACAGTAGTCAAAAAGGGGCGCGAAAAACTGGCAAACAAATAAATAAAAAACTGACTTCATAGACCATTAAAATCCTCAACCTCGGCTAAAAGCTGCACCTCAATTTTGTTTCTTTCAATATTTTGGCATGTTTATGCTACTGTTTTCTGCTCACAACACAGACAGCGCCACATGGTGCCGTTGAGGTAGGCTCCAAAGAGGATACTCTCAGCCCGCAGTGTAAGCATCAAAACAACGCGACGCTGTTTTTGTTGTGCGTGTGTGTGAGTGCGTGTCTATGTGTGGCGAGAGTGCCACCGAGCGCTAGGCTACTTGTCCGAGCGCTGAGGCTTTCAGAGAGGTTCCGTCGGTACCGTGAAGCCTTGCAAAAGTAGTTGAAGTTGTGCCTGAATTTTCGGAATTACTGACGCTAGAAAATAATTAAATTGCGATTCCGTTTAGCCGAAAGTAATTAATTACAGTTACAACTTACAAAGAAAGTTGTTAAATTACAGTAATTAAATTAATGTAATTAAACTACCACCCTAGTATGAACCAGACAGCAACCAGTCGGAAATTGACTTCAGGTAATGCATTTCAATGGGAATAAAATAATCCGTTTTCTCCGTGCGCTTGCTTATTAGAGCAAATATCACGAATAATTCGTACGTACTAAGTGTATTTCTCAGTCACGCAGACGAAATAATTTATCAGTTACGGCGTTTTTATCTTAAATTCGTGGAAAAATGGAAAAATTAAAGATGTTTACAAATCTCTGTAATGCGAAGTTAGAGCGCAGCTCTTCTGTTATTTTGATTTTGCAATATTCTGTGCTGAACAATTTGAAAAAGAAATATACAGGGTGTTTCAGAGAACTCAGGCCAAATCGCTCCTGCGAAAACTACTTATCGCAACGAAAAAAGGCTTTTTTCGGCATGGTCTTGGGCCAGGGGCACATTTAGGAGGATTATTGAAGTCCGGGATAATAACATGTTATTTATTTTTGCGTAATTAACTTTTTTAATATTGTGCTTCAGGGCATGGTTTCAATTAGAAAATTTCTCAGCATTATGAACAAACACTAAATCAACTAATTGCAGTACGATAGAAGGCACGCGAAGCATTTTACGGCTTTCTGAAAAACCGCACAAA